TAAATGGGATTTGAGGGTACTTAATATGTTCAAACCAAACACTATCAAGGGAAGGGTGCTTGGCTTTTAAGAAGTAATTAAAGTGTCTGCTATGCAAGGGAGAGATGACTTTCCAAATATCTGAGAAGTAAAAATTTCCGTTCCAGCTACTGACTCATGGTGGAGCGGCAACCTCCTTTTACAGCTTTGGCATGAGGAATGGGAAGGGGGAAAGCTGGAAATGTTAAGGACTGAAAGGAAAAGAGATAATGAGAGGGAGAACCGTAGCTGAAGACTGGTATTGGAAGAGTCTTCTGGGGTTTGGGGAAGGAACTCTGGGTTCCTTCGGTACTTGATCTGACATGCGCATTTATGTTCAGCATTAACTTTGGCTAAAATACATACTTTTGGGGGTGGAGGAGAGAGAGAGGGAGAGGAATACAAGGTGCAGACAGACCCTGTAGTGTTAACTGTTACCTTTTGCTCCCTGCAGTGGGTGACCATGGCTATGACAACGCTCTCCCCAGCATGCACCCATTCCTGGCTGCGCGCGGTCCCGCCTTCCGCCGCGGATACACACACAGCTCCATCAACAATGTGGACATCTACCCCATGATGTGCCACATCCTGGGGCTGACACCACAGCCCCACAACGGCACTTTGGGAAACACCAAGTGCCTGCTGGCTGACCAGTGGTGCATCAACCTTCCCGAAGCTATTGGGATAGTTATTGGGGCGTTCGTGATCCTGAGCACTTTCACCTGCATCATAGTCATCTCCAAGAACAGAGTCGTTCCGCCACGGCCCTTTGCCCGGCTGCAGTTACAAAGTGATGACGATGAACCTTTAATTGGATAGCACAGAGGGAGCCCAGCCTCACTCGCTACACTGTGATTTCAGGAAAAACAGTTTGAACTTGCACTGGATGGCATTCTGTGATGCACTTTATCTGCGTAAAATACTGTACAGCCAGACCTTGCTGACTCGTTTGTGTGCTGCCTGACTAGTGTCCTGTAAAAATATTTTCAAAACAAAACAGTGAACTCTTGGCTTTTCACTGTAAGAGATGCTAACAAAATAAAGATGCTTAGTTTTTCATTCAAGCCTTTGAGCGCTTTCAGAATGAAATTCCAGAGTATGACTAGCCAGGATAGACTAAGTGAATTTTAATATTTGTAAATGATAATTGCTTTTTTTTGTATTAAATTTAAATTAATATTGACTTATTTTAATGTTCTTGTACCTGTGTTGGAAAGAAGATCTTTTTTATGAGAGCTAGAAGTTAATTTTGTTTGCAGAGTATGTTCTGGTTTGCCATTTAATTTGGGGATAGAGGGTATAGGGAAGATCCAAGACTTTTGTTTCTACCCTAAGGCAGCAGTATGACATGACATTGCTGAGAAAGAAAATGGAAGTCGGTGAGGAAAGAATTGGTGCATATCACTTCTATTTTGAGCAATAAACCATGTGGTTCAGCAGTTACAACACTGGACAGGTGGCTCTGACATTTCTGGGCATGTGTCTGTGGCTGACTTAGATCCACAGTTCCTGCACAGTTCCAGTTGTGCTGCTGCCTTATCTCAAGGATGTCAGTTTATATCTTTGAATTACCCAGTTTCATGGGCTGTAGGTGTAAAATTAATGCTTTTAAATCCTGTGGAAAGTTTCTCAGGTGTAAACTCTGCTGAAGGTGTTTTTGTAATAAAGGTGGTTCTGCCCTGTGCACCAGCTGATATTTGTCTTTTGAAGGCTGTCATGCTAAAAAGCAACAATTGACAGTTTGATGTGCAGTCATCAAACAAGTCTTCCAAACTCTTATTTTAAGCCTGGAAATTTAAAGAGAACAGTTAACAGATCTTATCTCAAAAAAATAAATACTCTGTAGCTTTTGAGATATATAGATGCAAATGTCTGGTGAAGACCAGTGCTAATGGTTCTCCTAATTGAAACTCTTGATTCCTTGTTAATGGTCAGGTTGTAACTTGACGTTAAAATTTGATGTAGAAAGCCTTAAATGATATCTTATCTTTCAGAGAGGAGAGGATGTGAGGTTAAATTGTTAATGATAACCCAAAAGAGAACTATGGTTACCGAGTCCTTTTCCTACAAGTTTGATGGTTTTAAAAAATAATTTGAAGTGACAGAGGTACATGGTAGTGTGCAATGTCGTTTCTCTTTCCCAAGCTCCAATTCAATGCAGTTTGGTATTGGCCCCAGACTGCCTTTTAGTGATCCAGCAGGCACTTTGGAGGGAAGGGCTGCTTCTAACTGTCCACAGAAAAAAATATACTGGAGTTTTAGAAATGTGTGGAAGCTTTACTACTTTGTGTCTTCCTTTCTGGGTATTCTGTTATACTGATTAAAAACACAAACCAAAACCTAACTGGTTCTGGTTTCCCCTCCTTCTTAAACTACTAGTTATTACTTACTAGTGCTTTACTCTGGATTAATCTGAGCTTGAAAGAGGCTCAGGCCCCTTGAAAAATCTGTTCTGTTACTGACAGGGTACTGGATTTTAACCTGTTGCTATCCTAGAGCAGTAGCTGGACTGAGCACAGAGTCACTTTCTCATCCTGCCTGAAGTTTAAACTAATTAATTATAGGCACCAAGAGGTCGAGTTAATGAATAACTACAAAGGGAATGTTTTGCAGGGTAGGACCCAGCCTTGGATATGCTGTAAAAGGGAGGACATTGGAGAAAGTTGTTTGTTAGGTTCTCATAATTCTGCTGATTCAGGCTGGGATCCTCAAAAGGTGGTGGAATTATTGGGAGATGCTTTGCATCATCTGTGTTTGGAAAGGCTTGACTAGACTGAATTAATCTTCCCAGCAGACTTGGTCAGATCAAACTGTACTGTCTGTACATGTGAGTTCTGGTGGTTTTTTTCTGGAAGCTAAACCTGATATAGCACAGTGTTTGCTCCACTCTGTTCTCCCCCTTCTCTGCCCTCCCCACAGCAGTTGTCACACAGCCTGTGTTGGATGTGCTCTCAGTTCCTCTGTGCATCCCCCTCACAGGCAGGTGGCAGAGTTACCACCAGGATTTTAATGGCCAGAAATGTAAATGCTGACTGAAGTGCAGTGTGATCTGAAATAGGACTGTTGTTACAGATGGGGAAATCAAGGTCTAAGTGCATTTCTTCTTCCAGCTCTAGGCAGCCCCTTCTGATGAGAATTGCTACAAGCCACTGAGCTGCTGTGAAACCAGATAGTGAGTGGTTGCATTGAGTGGAAATCCCTAACACCCTCTACTCCTCCTCCCTTAGCATGGAGACTAAACAGTGCTACTCTGGAAAGGGCTTAAAGAGGAAATTTAAGTACTAAGAAATAGGATAAACTGTATTCGAGTTGCATTGCTGATCATTTTAATTTCCAAAGATGTGGTATAGTCTGTAACGGTTCTGAGTATTCTTCCTGGCACAATGGGTTTCAGAGTCACTCTTGTACATCCAGGATTTCACACAGATCATGTACAGATGAGGAGAACCTAGAAAAGCACCTCTTTGTCCTTAAGACACAAAGTTTCTTTATTTAAAGATGATTATTTTTTTAAATTCTGGCAAAACACTTCAACTGCCTCATTACAGTTTGTGTTCTATTTCTTATGAAAGCTGGTGGCTGATTTTCTTCCCAAGAGCCTATTCAGAATAAGAACAGCAAAGTTGTGGCTTCTGCTTCCTCAGAGCTGTGATAAAGGGGTGATAGTTTGTGGCAACAGTTAATGACTTGCTAAATAGACACAACTCAGCAATGTTCACACAGGGCACGTTAATTCAGAGGACATTCCTAACACTTAAACTGGCAGTGAAGTTTAGAAGGGGATAGGAGGGATATTTGTAGCCACTGCCTTGCAGTGAAAGCTCCCGTTTCATTATGTTGGCTGTCTCCATAAGGGAATGCAACACTGGGTACAGAAGCCCTAAAACATCCACCCCTTTGGGGTTCTGTGCTTTTTTGGCCATTAGCATCAAGGAAACAGTTCCAGAATTGAGCTGACTTCAACTACAGCTCTGAAACACTGGTTTCAGGGGCAAGTTTAACTTGCTGCCTACACGTTGCCTATGAAAATAAACCAACATATGTATCTCCAAGGATCAGGCCACAGGGACAGATGTTTCCTCTAACGTGCATGGTAGCATTTTTTATTGCAAAAAACCCAGTAATGGAGGTTTGTTAATAGGATTCAGATTAGGATTTCATTATGGAAAAGCTGAGAGCACTATTGGATTTTTCATTTTCATGTGCTTGCAACAATTTTTGTAGCCTACCACCTAATAAATATTTACACCACTTCGACTGTAGGACAAACATGCCATGAAAGGTTTGTACAGCAGCACAGGTATGGTCAACACAGAATCCTTTGCCATTATTTAAACAGGGAAGAAGACTGGGAAATAACCCTGTTAAATTTGCATTTTACAACACAGCAGGACCCAACCGCTGCACATTTGTTCTTCTTCCACATTCAGCTTGTGTTGTTCACACTTGTGACAGGTCTCTGCCCATGACAGGGGGGGCAGTTGAAACCAACCCAAACCATTCTATGATTGTCTGAAAAGTCAGGCTGCACAACCCTTCATCCTACAACAGGCTTGGCAGTGCTGGGTTGATGGTTGGACCCTTATTGTAGAAGTCTTTACCAACCTAAACAATTTTATGAATCTGATTTTTCTGCCTTTTTTTAGTTATTATTTTTCTTGAGACTGCATTTTTTGTAGCAGCATTACTGCATCTCTTTTCCAAGAAAGTCTGGAAGATTTTTTTTGGTGAAAGAAACTGTATTCCCACCATTGGTAACTGATAGCTGGTTTTTCCAGATATAGCAGCAAGGGGGGAAATGAGATCTATTCTAAAAGAACTTTCACTTAAAATTCTTAAGTTCTATCATACTTCCAGTTATTCTTAATAAAGGCATAGACTATGCAGAGCCCAAGAAATATTTGGGATGCAGGAGTTAAGGTCATTCTCCCCTTCAGGTTTGTTTCCCAGAAGCGTTTTTAAATGAAGCCAGCACTCCATGCTTGGTAGGACTACAGCAAAGATGTATTTCAACTCCACCAGTTCCAAACAAGAAGAAACAAAGAAAACATTTGACATCTGTACGCTTCACAGGTCAGTAATGAAACACAACATCATGCATCACTCTTGGTTTCCAAGCTTAAGTTACAAGCAGTACAGAGTGTACTCAAATCCAGTTTCCAATAAACTTGTTTGCACATCATAGAAAGTATCATATACACAGAAACCAAATCCCATGTCCTCCCCACCCAAAAAGATAGTCTGACAAAATGTCACATCAGAGAAAAAATTGCTGTGCTTTCATCATCTGTGCTTTCAATTCCATTAAGCTCACACCCAACAACTTAAAACAGTGTTTGACACCAGCTGGGCAAATATACTAACAAGGAACTACCCAAAAGGTACCTGCAAATACTCCAAAGAACAAAGGAAATGTTTAGCCCTAAACTGAAATACTCAAATACTACAAGATTCCCTTCTTTTTTTTTTACAAAGTTTTATTTTACCCTCCTCAAAGAAGGGCCTCAGTGCAATACAGAACAATGACACACACAATTCTCACATCCATGTCCCCAAATTATTTTGAGTATTATTGTTCCCAAAGCCTTTGTCGCAGGAAACTTACTGCTCTTCCCTTGTTGCACATTTGGACAGGTAAATCTAAGTCCAGGATGACTGAACAACACTGACCAACTCTGTCCCCTCCTTAAAATCAAGACTTACTTTGGCTGATAGAACTACACCTGCCACAATTAAAGGGGGGGGTTAATGAACAACTCTGAGATTACAACCCAGTTATTTTCACATCTGCCATGATTACTGCTATGAAATTGCTGCAATAAGAAGAATTTCTATTAAAGCAGCATGTTCCAAAGTGCATAATTGCAGTAGCTACAAGAGAGGGTTATGGCATCTCCAATTGCCACTGTTATTGCCTTATCCAAGCCTGTAGATCTTTCCTTAAACACACACTAAGGCATAGCTAATGGCCGGCCAGCTCTACTGAGAATCAGCTTTACAGACCTTTTCCTTCAGTGTTTTCTTAAGAAAATGGCAATACAGGAAAAAGACAGTTCACAGCATAGCAACAGCACTGAGTCGGATAAGTTCGCAATATTTCACATATATCTCCCAAACTGAGAGCTGTCTCCCAACAGATCTGCATGTTTCCTGCCTTCCTAAAGCTACTATTACAGCTAAACTTACAGCAGATCCCTTAAGTTGGATTATTTCACTGCCTTCCCTCTCAAGCACTTGCTGAACCCAGGTGTGGCCTCTGGAAACGTCCACATCTGTCTGCAAGACAGGTTGGGGTTGGTGCTAAGCAAATGTCCCTGCCATTACAGAGGAACCCAACAGGTCATCATTAAGTCTGGAATTTAGTCCAGCAAAACGAGTTTTGTACTGCAAACCCTCCCCTTGCAGTACTGTCAGTCACACCGTTTCCTCGGCAGAGCACAACCAAAGCCGAGGTGTTCCCATCCTTGCCCTCTGCTGGGGGCTGTGGATACAGCTATAAATTGCACTTAAAAATACTCAGTTTGCTATTTCTGCATGAATTTTAAAAGTTTCTTTCTCCTTCAGGCATTGTGCTCAGCATCAAAGTGATGAGAAATACTATCTCACAGAGGGAGAAGGGGAAAACTCTGACAGTGAGACAACTTTTCTCACTTCAGACCATGTTTTTCACACAAACCTTAGTCAGCAGCTTCTCACCTACCATTTAAGTGAGCTCACAAAAAAACCCCACAACTACACTAGCAAGAAGATTTATTGCCACACATGAAAGGATCAGAATAATATGTAGCTTTGTTGACTCAGAATTAATATTTTTCCCTGACAGAGGCTTTCCTCCGGAAGAACAAACTCCAGTCTTACACCTTTTTTTTTAATATTAAAGTGTGCTTGTTCAGTTTTAAGAGCATATATGGCTTAAGATTTATATGGCTGCTCCATAAATTGCAACTCGAATCCTGCTTATCCAATTCTAAGGTCCACCAGGCACAGCAGATAAAGCACAAGACACAAGTCAAACTCACAGTAACGAAGAGTCTTTGATAACAGATCAGATGAACACCCAGGAACAGAACTCTGAAACCAGCCTGAATATCCATGTTCCTTAACTGATTCATCTCCCTTAGTCTCTAAGAACCTTCTTATCACAGAAATATAGAAGACTCCATTTGGATATACAGGTGTGGTGCTTGTGTCTTTATCCTGCCAGCTGCATGGAACTTCTAGAAAATTTAGTCCAGTGTACAGGAAATAAAAAACGTGAAGACCTAAGTTTACTTAAAATCATACTTAAAATGGTAAAGACCTGTATTTACCGAAATAATATTTTTTTTAAATTAAGAATCAAGCAGTTTAATACTGATTGCTAAAGGCAATACCACTTAGATTCATATTCTGGGGCTACAATTAACGGAGTAGTTTGAAGAAATATGCCTAATTCTAAATGTAGAGACTTAGCACTCGTGACCTAGCTGAAAAATAATGTTGTTTTCCACAGGATTTAACCCACCAAGTTGTCTGTAATGGTGACCAAGAGCTTCCTTGGGCAGGGCAGTTAAAAAAAAAAACAAAGAAGTTTAGTCCCATTCAGTGACTTGTTAGAATCGAAGAGACTCAAAAAACCTCTCAAGGAACAAAAAAAAAAAAAAAAAAAGAGGGTGGAAATGAAATCACCATTTAATAGTCTGTGAAATGCACCTCAGCTGATGTTATTTATCTAAAAATAGCTATAATAAGGTATTTGAGGTCTGTTGTTACTACATGTCTACATACATAAACAGCTTTCCAGGTTTACCTACAGTATCTTTGACACCTGGAAGATGAAGTGGCTGCAGGGTGAAACAGGAACATGCTCTTTCTCTGCATCCCTGGTCTGTACGTGCCTCAGAGTACCAATGGATCAGCATCCACCTCCTTTTACTCCAGATATTTATGCTGATCCATCTCTTATTACTTATTTTCTCTGTATAAGCTTATTTCAAGCCTCAGACAGGAAATAATCCCAAGTGTTAATGATCTTGCAGCAGTGGCTGGGCAACTTCAGTGTGTAGGATGTGCATGGAATTTGCTTGGGCAAGGACAAAATGCTTAACAAAAACTGCAGTAAAAACCAGAACAAGCAAGCTGCCCAAGAAGACTCCTATGACTGTGGAACAGGTGTCTGCTCCAAAGGCTCCAGGAACTTCAGCAAGGATGTCTTTCACGGAGTTGAGGGAGCCGTTGTTCGGCAGAGGGTCAATACGAAGCAGATGACACAGCAAGGGGTACAAGTCTGTAGCATTCATGACTTCTTTGGTGGCATTCTTTCTGAAAGCAGGCCCAACTGCCACAAAAATGGGATGCATTTCTGGTATGATGTTGTCATACCCGTGGTTACCAACTTGAAATAAAAGATAGAGAAAGGTCAGTATTCTGAAGTTGCAAAACAAGCAACCCTTTCCTAGAATTAGCAGAATGCAGAAAAGGCACAGCCATCAGTTATTCTTGCAAAGGTTTAGAAGAATTCTTTTGATCCATTTGTCTCCTAGCAAATACGAAGTCTCAGAACTACAAAGAGAAAATGGCTTTAAAAAAAAACAACAATGGAGAGCACTATTTGAAAAAAAAGAAAAAGAAAAAGAGCTAGAAAAAAAGGTAAGCTCACAGGGCAGTAACCACTGTCAATGACATGCTACCTATAGCCAACTTTCCTTGATTTTTCTCAAGAAAAAACTCCAACTTTGCAACTGGCCCAGATCTCTTAGAGAAAAATTAAAAAAAAATATGTAGAGACAGATTGTCCATTTGACTCCAAGTTTGACACTTTGTCCAGTTTTGTGCACTATCAACTCATCAACAAGGAAAAGACCTCACTACTGGATCTCCAGTGCCCCTTCCCAGCAGGGGTACTAAAAACTCTGAACATGTAGAACACACAGGCATGAGAAGCTGCTCTGAGCACCTACTGACAAACTTGTTACGTCTTGCAGGTGATGCTCTTTGGAGTCATAACCTGCAGCAAAGTTTAGAAGGTTTTCAATTAAGAAACTTAAACACCAACCACACGACACCTGTATTTTTCCTCCTATGTAACCAAAAAGTTACAGTTTACTGTCTCCATTCTATCTATAATAAATCTCAAAACCCCGAAGTAAGGAACTTAAAATTGGGGTTTTTATTCCTCCATATCACCTAGAATGCATTTTATCCTCTAAGACAAGCAAAAAACACTGGTGTGCAGAAACAAAGACTCTTTGTAGCAACAGAGCGAGGTTACTGTAAGTGTAGCACGCACAAAAGCTGAGGACTTTCAGAAAACGTTTTTGTATTTCCAACCCAACCTTCTCCAGTAAATAAGTAGTACGTGATAAAACAACCCTATTCACCCTCTACTCAACAAATTCAGTTACAACTTTCTTTTTTAATCTCTCAGGAAGTGCTTGTCAGTTTGCTACATCCTGAAAGACCTCAAGTATGAGGCCACTAAAACATGTGACTGATCTTATCTCAGAAAGTCTAATGTTTAAAGAAACACTAAGTGCGGATTCTCCTCCCCTAATAGTAGGGTGCTTCCCATCCCACCAGGGGAGAACAACAGAAATTCTACACACTTCAGTTTTCCCTCTCAATCTTAAAGAAATATAAAAAATGAACATAGGTTGAGACTGGGAGAGAAAGTACCACGTAAGGTTCCTAACTAGCAAACCACCATAAAGACAAGATACTTACCCATAAAAACATCAGACTTATTATGTACAATTTCCCATCCTTTATCAGCCACTGCTAAAATGGGCTGAATTTTACTGTTGTGTTTGTAATGCCATCTATCTGGAATCTGCTCCTTTTTATATACAGTCATGTTGGGATGAGCGTTGGCCAAAGCTTCATATACTTCATCCAGTTTGCCTTCAAAAAAACAAAAGAGACAAAAGACAAAAATTAAACATACCAATATGTTTACTGAACTAACAGTAGTTTAAATACAGCTGAAAGAAGAGGACAAAATGCATTTCCTTAGTGAAGTGAATTTAGTATAATTATACATTACAGTTGTAGGAGACAATGTGTGCACATGTGTTACTGAGAGAAATCCAGAGGATCATTCACGGTAAGATCCCACCTGACACCAGACTTCACAGCCTGTTCCCAAGCAATAAGTGCCCTGCTAATTTTAGAAAAATCCCTCATTTCATAGTTGTCAGAATGTCAGCTTCTCACAGGAATGAGCTAGAAGGCATTCAGTTAAATCCCATGGAAAAGGAACCAACCCCTCCTAGCTCCATGCAAAGCCTGAAAACAAGAAGATAGCTCCTAAACCTGTTCATGAGGTAATAAGGGCATTCAGGCCATATTCTGTCTGTCCCCCAGTTGGCTGTGATGGCAAGTGACACTTTTTATTAATTTTTTTAATTTCAAAGCAGTCTCATTGTTAGCTGCTTTCCTTTAAAAGGGGAAAGAGAGAAGCCACTTTGTTTCTTGGCATTGCTGAATCATCCCGAGCAGGGAACACATGACAAGCACACCAAGGGACAGGCTGGAATGGCAGATGAAGGTGGAACTTTTGGTCTAGAACTGTCAGCCAACTGTATTCAATAACAGCCAACAGCACGAGCTACTCCTCTGTATTCCCAGGGCCTGCTCCTTTCCTTTCCTTAGTCACAGTGAGTGCAAACCCTCAAGCCCTGTACTACCACTGAATAAATAAGCATTTCCCACCCCCAATTCTTTATTTGCTTATTTCCAGTTTCTGAGCTCATCTTTCCAGTAAAAGTCACTTAAGAGCCACAACCAGTTGGACAAGCTGGAACATCAGTGCACAGACAGGAAGAACCAGAACACAGAGACAGAAGGACAAAAACAAGTTCAGGAATTGGCACCTGAGCAAATTTCTTCAATCCTTCCCCTCCATTTGAGGAAAGATTCCTACTGAGGGCTATGCAGTGCATACAACAGACTTATGTGAAATACCAAATCCCTCAGCTGAGCACTTTGTGCACTCAGCTGCCCCACTGGATTGGGCACAGTGTGTCTGCAGGCCCATCTCAGTGACCATTTACAGCCTACGTGGAGTTTGGAACGTACCTCAGGGAAAAAAGGTTGGGAGGAGGTGCCCAATGTCTCTAAAGAAAATGTGTTCATTTTCCCCCTCAGTTTCTAGAATCCAGTATAGAAATTGTGAAGGAAAACTGGAAATACATTAATGTATAATGTTTCTTATCTCAAACTGGCATAAAAACTTGAGAAACACAGTAGAGGTCAAGATGAAACAGCAAAAATACAGATATGATAGAGAGAGTTACAGCAACAAGGGACTCCAATCTAGCATTTCTAGGACTATACTAGTAATAACCTTAATATTGTTATGCCACTTTTCTATATGGGATGGCAGGGAGGAGAAGCCCCAAATACAGCAAACTATGATTTTACACTAAATTAATTATTTTAATTATTTATATCAAATGCAAGGAAAAAAGCCAGCATCAGCAGCTGTGCTACAAGTACTTTCTTTGTGAACATATTATTACTTCCACATGCACTGTAATACACCAGCATGGTTAAATAATGGCTTTAATCCATCTCTCGGAGAAGAAATATGCAGCCAGTTAAACTAAAAGAAATTGCTGCATTTTTAAGCATTCAAACTTTTCCCCAATGTCTCACTAAGTTTTACCATTCCCTTGGCTTAAGCAAGACAAATGGACTAACAAACAGGTGAAGAATCAGTGTTTTGTACTTAAGTGTATGTTAGTTCATAGCTTAACTGACAGTGAAACTCATTGTTTTATAGTAAAAATCATAGCTGCTAACACAGAAGGAAGGAATTTTAGCTGTGCTCAAAACTCAATTCTTGTTTACTGGTAATGGAATAAATACCTGAGTCTCTGGCCAAAACCAAATCCAGGCTATTTCTGAAATCCACTGAAATGGCTTTTTTACTATTCTGTCCTCTAATTGCTGCCTAGATACTGTTTCTTCTCAGCATTTAGCAGACAGGAGAATCAAGTTACACGTCTTCAAGTTCTCATTTACTGCATCAAGGACGTTTCAGCACCAAAGTTTACTTTTACAGCTTTTTTACTTGCTAATGAGAAGGTCCTACTCAACCATCTTGTCTCTATGAGGCTGGAGCTCCCAAACTTGGTTTTTTTATCACCACTGAGGGAAACAGCACTCGAGTGTGCTCAGGCAGCAATGATCTCAGTTTGGACATACTGACAATTTAGTCTGAAGTATTCCTCAAACTAAAAATGACAAGAGACATTTGTTTGCACATAAAAGTCTGCAACATACCCTCCCTACTGGGACATTTAAATACAGAGCACTATCCATTAGTGATGCAAATTTTATAGAATTCTTAAAAAACTCCTTTTCAGAAGGCCACCTTAAAACTCAACTTCCAAATCAGCATTTTTTTGTGTGGACAGGGTTGCTATTTTCCAGGTTAACACACTTGCACCAAATAGTTATAACACTTGATCATCAAAATAAAGAGCAGCACCTCTGCATTAGTGACACTAAACATCAGCTGACACTTCAGCAACCTTTCAGTGACTGCAACCAGACTTCAGATTTTGATTCCAACAATATTCTTGCTCATCATCACAATAAAAACAGTATGAATATAAGTGGATGGCTGTTCAGCATAACAGGGGAAAAAAACTAGTGAACTACAATAGCTGGCAGCTAATCAAATAGCCAACACAAGCTTTCTTTTTATCAAAGCTCCCCATCTGGTCTCAGTTTAACTCTGTTTGAGTTAGAAATATAATTCTTCCACTATGGCTTCAGCACCTTGATGAAAGGCAAGATATGTAACATTCAGGTGTTATCTATCTAGAACACCATTCAGCCTTGATAATGCCATTATATTATCCTACTTCTCACAAAAACTGAAGGATCTTTGGCAACATTAGTCAACAAAAGATAGATTTGCTCCCTTTTCATTTCAGAAAATTAATCCAGGCTTTTGACTGAGCTAGTAAAAAGAATAAAGAAGTGATCCTGCAAGTACTCCTTGTTCAAGGCTGATGTCCTACTGGCATCAGTGCTGCTACCACCACTTCAGTCAGGGAATGATGTCTATAAAGTTTGGATACTTAAGTATCTCTTCAGACAATTTTACCGCTGTAGCTCCTACCTTCTTTTGGCAAAATGGCTACTGTGGGAGAATGGTCAATGACTTTATAGAGCTCTCTGTCCACATACTGATCAAGCTCAATGACCCTCTCTGAGGACAACTCTGACATCCCGTGATCACTGGTGATGATGACATTTATCACACCCCACAGCTTCGCCGCCTTCAGCTTGGAGATGAGATATCCCAGTTTGTTGTCAATATCACTAATTACCGGTCCCATAAGTGGGTTGTCTGGGCCCAGAAAATGTCCCATTTCATCAGGCTGTTCCCAGTAGAGGAGACCAAAGTTTATGGGTTCTTCTGATGTAAACCACTCAATAAGCTTGGCCACTCTGTCTTCAAAGGGAACGGTTTCATTGTAGGGCATATAATGTGTGGGCAACACTCCGTGTATTTTCACGTCTGTTCCAGGCCACATGGCTGCCCCAGATTTGTGTCCTTTCCTCTGGTTCGTTATCCATATCGGGATGGCCTCTTCCCAGAACTTGGGGTTATAGGTATTCATTTTGGTCAGAGAGAAGGTTTCATTCAGAACAGGATCGTACATCTCATTAGCGACGATGCCGTGGCTCTCTGCGTAGAGACCAGTCACCAGGGTGTAATGGTTGGGGTACGTTTTTGTTATGAACACATTGGTGACCTGCTTGACATGAACCCCGTTCTCCATGGCATAATGGAAATTGGGAGTTGAGACTTTATAGATGTAATCCCATCGAAATCCATCAAAAGATACCAGCAGCACTCTGGGCTGGAGAGACAGCGCACTTTGAAGAAATAGTAATAAAATTCCCAGGACTTTCCAACGACAGCTCATGGCTATTCCGGAAGGTATCTTCTGAGGCAACATGGCATCTGCTGAGCAGAGACAGAAGGTTTGTTTGCATTAACATGTTTTGTTAAAGTCATAACTCATACTTAAGAATGAGTAGCTAAAATATTCCTTATGTATTTATATCTTATGTATTCTACAAGAGCATGGACTAGCAGGACAAGGGGGAATGGCTTTAAACTGACAGAGGGCAGGGTTAGACCAGATATTAGGAAGAAATTCTTTACTGTGAGAGTGATGATACTCTGGCACAGATTGCCCAGAGAAGCTGAGGATGCCCCATCCCTGGAATTGTTCTCAGTCAGGCTGGACAGGGCTTGGAGCAACCTGGTCTAGTGGAAGGTGTCCCTGCCCATGGCAGGGTGTTGGAACTAGAGGGCCTTTAAAGCCCCTTCCAACCCAAACCATTCTGTGATTTTAATTCTGTTCACACGACTCAAGGGTATTGACTACTCCTACCTATGACTGGAATTCCTTAATTAACAGCATGACATAATAGGACACATAATTTCTTTCTGCCCTTCCCAAACACCTTCTTGTTCAAAACTCAGTTATCTTCTCAAAGCAAGATAGCTGTAAGAATCCTCACATGGGACTTCCCTGTCTGTAACTGACCTAAAATTTCATGCTTATATTCCCCACTTCTTGCTCAACAGCATCATTTAACCACAAGACCAGATATTCCTCAATCCAATCTTGCACCGATACTCCACACAGTTCCCTTTAGGTTCCCATTTTTTTTCAGCAATCCTCTGAGACAAGTCACTACCAAAATTCAGCTGGAAAACAGTGATTTCGCAATGAATAAAATCATCTTTATCTTCAGAGTACATAACTATCCTAGTTAATATAAAAAGTTATACTGTAACAAGCATCTGAATACCACTGCAGTGACGGAATAGGATCTGTCATTCTGGTAGAATACAAGATACATTCCATGGGAAGTTTTACCATTCCAATTCCCCCGTTCCTCTGATTCTCCTCAATCTCTCTCTCATATATACATTTACACTTGAAAACAGCACAAGCACTGCTGACTGCCCAGAGAGGTTGTGGTTGCCCCATCCCTGGAATTGTTCTCAGCCAGGATGGACAGGACTTGGAGCAACCTGGTCTAGTGAAAGGTGTCCATTCCCATGGCAGGAGGTTGAAACTAGATGAGCTTTACAGTCCCTTCCAAACCAAAGCATTCTGTGATTCTAGGATTTTAAGAACTGCAGGCAGTCAAATGTTACACCAAGCTTGTGTGCCTCCCAAAATTAAAATCCAGGCCTTGAGTTCTGTTAAGAATACACTGACACTTCGGAGATGTAATTCCCCTTTCAGCAAACAGCACAGACCCAAAGGCTACAGAATCTTCCAGTTTCTCCCGACGGAGGATTTCTTCCAGCTGAACATGAAGGAAGGAAGGGAGAACATGCTGCTCTGTCCATCTGAACCCCATCTGCCAAATTAAATGTAGCCCTTCAATTTCCCTTGGGGAGTGACAAATACGGATTTAAGTCCTCTCAAGCAAAATCAAGTCTTTACTTCTGAACTTTACACAGTTAATGATCTCAATGTGACCTATGATTCTATAGATAATAAATGATGGGTGGTTTGTTGTTATTTTTTTTTCCCCAAGGCCTTCCTATACCGGTCTTCCCTGGATACAATCTAAACCCATCTACTGACGCGGGTCTCTCCAGAACTCCGCAGCACAAAGCCCCGGGGACTCGAGGGGCTCTGGGTGGACAAAGCCACCGGTCTGCCCATGTCAGGAGCTGCCACACGGACACACGGACGGACAGACACCGCGGGCCGCGCTCGGCGGCCGCCGGAGCTCAGCACTCGCGAATGCCGAGCCCAGGCCGCCGCTCCCCGCTCGGCAACCCCCAGAACCTCGTGTCAGAGCCGGGCTGGAGGACGCCAGGAACCCCTACCCCACCACCAGCACCCCCGTCTCCGGGGCCGTTCCCCCCGTTACCTGCGGGCCCGCGGAGCAGCGGGTCAGGCTCCGGCACCGCCCCGGGCGCAGCGGCGGCGGCGGCGCCGGGAGTGGCCGCCGGGGCCGTCACTCAGCGCGCGCGGGGCGGTGCCGGGCGTGAGGCGGGTCCGGCCGTGAGGGGGTCACGGAGCCACAGAGTTAATGAGCTTGAGAAGGGTTCTGAGATCGTCGAGTGCAGCCTGTGACCGAACGCCACCATGTCAGCTAGGCTACGGCACTAAGTGTTTCCTTAAACACCGTCCCTGCACCACCTCCTTTGGCAGCCCGTTCCGGTGTCTAATCACCCTTTCTTTCTGTGAAGAAATTTTTCCTGATGTCCAGCCTGACCCCCCCCCCCCCCCCCCCCCCCCGGCACAGTTTGAAGCTGTGTCCTCTTGTTCTGTCGCTTGTTCCCTGGGAGACCGACCCTCACCTGGCTACGCCCTCCTGTCAGGGAGCTGTAGACAGTGACAAGGTCCCCCCCCCGGGGCCTCCTCTTCTCCAGGCTGAGCTCCCTCAGCTGCTCCTCACATGGACGTGCACTCCAGACCCTCCCCCAGCTCCGTTGCCCTTCTTCTGGACATGCTCCAGCACCTCAGTGTCTTTCCTGAAGTGCGGGGCCCAGAACTGGACACAGGATTTGAGGTGCCTCAGCAGTGCCAAGTAAAGAGGTAGAATCCCTGCCCTGGCCCTGCTGCCACACTATTGCTGACACAGGCGAGGTGCCATTGGCCTTGGCCACCTGGGCACACGCTGGCTCATGTTCAGCCACTGCCAACCAGCACCCCCAGGGTGTAAGGTGACCTCAGGACAGTATTTGCCCACCATGACGAGGTGGGAGAGGGGCTCCCTGGAACAGCCCTTCTGCAGGTGCCAAGAGGAGTGGGTTGTAAGGGTGTTGCTTCATATTGTAAATTAAATAGACATTATATAGAAATATGGCCCAGGCAGGGCTGGCTGGGTTATGAGCATTTTTTCCCTGGCAGATACTTCTTCCTGTATTCTGGTGTTCAGACCCACAGCCATGCCCTGGAATGAAGAGCAAAATGAGTTTATCCCGCTTCATCTCACGATAAATTGAACTGCTGAATGGGATAAAAATCCAAACTGGGTTTCCCATTCCCACCTTTCCTAGTTGAGGATCTGTGCTATGTAGGGGTCCACAGCCTATGCCCTGTATGAACACAAACCCCACCCCGCTTCACGGCAGTGTACAAAACCAGTATCCTCTTAATGATGCATGGGAACATGCACCTTATTAATCACTTTATAGCTGGCATGCCTATCTGGTAGATATGTATGTATGTGTGTGTATATATACATACAGGTATATGTGATACCTTCCTCCCCCTGCTCTAGGAACTGTAGTAGAGGACATGGTTCTTTCAGTTGTTTTCTTAATGTCTTTTTTTTCCCCCTTCATTAAGGTTCTGTTACAGCTGTGAGCCTGAGACTAGAACAAAACCAGAGGTGTATGTTGCTGCTGTGGTTAGTAGGCTGTGCAGATGTGGCTGTTGTACAGTTGGAAACTGAGTTGGACCACATGTGTAGCACAAAGTTCATGATCCGATTCCTCGTCGTGACCTGTACCAAAAGCTTTGGAGAAAGCTGTAAAAATAAAAGTAATTAAAGAACTCCACCTGTGTGTGTTGAAATCTCAAGTTGGGTGGCCCTCAACAGCAATGTGCTGTACCACAGTGTTACTCTCACTAGCGAGGAAAAATTGTGCTCACATTTACTGTTGTTTCGGATTTGATTTTGGCTTCTCACTCAGATCTTGACGTGTGGGGAGCTGCCTCTGCAGTGGCTGGGATCAGTCACTAGAGGGTACAGGTGTACCTGGATTTAAGGAACTGCTCTAAATAGCTGGAAATGATAATATTTCTCTTGGATGCCAGAAATGGCTCAGCTGCTTAACACCATTATAAAATGAAAACAAAGCACAGACAAGGAGTTTGCTAATTCCACCAAAATGTTTAATACCATAGTAGATTTTCATTGAAGTACAGAGCTAATGTGAATATTTGTACAAAATATGTGGTTAAAAATAGTATTGATTTATAATATATACAGATATGTCACATCCGTGTCAGAAGTGCAGACACTTGAATGAAACCATGAGTAATGCTTTTAAATCTACAACAACATACACGAAATATTTCTGCAGCTACCCACATTAGGACAACTTGCCAAACTGACACTTAAGGATCCGTCAGTCGTTACAGATGGCATTTCTTTCAGAAGTTTCTGAACAAGAACTCTGCTCTAAAATGGATTCAAAACATTTACCTTCATTAACCCAACAGTGAAGAGAACACACTAATGTAGACACAACTTCCTCGCACTAGATAAACAATCAGTTACAACAATTTGGCTGATTTTCTGGTGAGAATAATAGAGAAGTTTAATCCTTCTTGCTGGATACTCTTACTGATGTGAGGAAACCCCTGACCCAAATGGACCCTTAATACAGCTCTCAGTTACATGGATCTGAATCTTGAAGTCTGTCTTAAGGTTCTGAATAGCTTTATTTTTCATTTGAGACTGCTCACACTTCACAGCTTTCCCAGCCTGACTCCAGTAAGAATCTCACTAACAAACAACCCCCATCTAGGCTTTTGCTGCACCAGGACATATTCCTGTATTAAGATGACTCTTGCTGCAGCCTCAGAACCTCTGTGTAGTGACTGAACAAACTGACAGAAGGGGAGAGAGAATTCAGGCTGGTTTGATTTTTAAAGTTTTCTGAGCATCTCTGCAGTGGAGGCATTCGAGGTTCTTGCCCATCCTACGGGAGTGCTGCTGCTGTTCTGCCTCTAACAGTGCCAGCTTCCCTCCCCTCCAAGCCAAAGCAAATATACTCCACAGGTCAAATAGACCTGTGGGAAAGAGCTTTTACAACATTTCCTTCCTGGTCATTTTACCTCCGAATGTTGCAGTTTACATGTACTTAAAAAAAGAGCACAGCTCATGTTAGAAAAACATCTCCTTTTAAGAGGAAGCTGGAATACTGAAAGCTGCTGTGTTCCCCTAGAAGATGGGCTAAACCAGGAAAGGCCATGTTTGGATTTTTTTTTTTTTTTTTTTGCTAGCATAACAAATTATTCAAGAGCTTTGTGTGAGGGCGAGTATAAATGAGGGTCTAGCTGGGACTCCAGTCCATACCTGGTTTTGATTTTTGGTAAAACAGAACTAAATGTCATTTCTTAGGCAGAGAGGAAGCAAGGAAATGCAAAGGTCTTAAATTCATACTGGTATGTGAGAGAAAGCCTGAAGCAGCTAAAATTTTAGTGGGTAAAATGTTTGCCACTAAAGGAGGACCAATAATAAATTCAGTAAAGGTTCTTTAGAGCATCTAAAAGCACTGTAACCATAATCAGCCTGTGATCCTCTGGGACACACAGCTCTCTGCCATTCACAGCTGAAGCTCTGAAGCTCATTTCCCAGTGCTGCATCCAGTGCCAAGTACCATGGAAGAGCCACAACCGGTGTGGCAGTAACACAGCATTTCAGTTGGGTTGGATGGAGAATCTCACTGTAGTAGGGAAAGCTCGTTTGGTGCTCAAAGTGAAGAATAAACCAGGCCTCCTACATTTCACCTCTAAAGTACTCCAGAAGAAGTTACTATTACTACTTTTTCTAATAAAACACAGTGGTTAAGGCCTGTGTTTTCCAAAGGAATCAAAGAGCTCATAGTTTACATCTCCAGAAAGAGTTCTTGAGCAAGTCTAATTTTTGTAATCATGAACAATCATCCTTTGAGAAACTAAGTCTTTTATGCCAGGCACACAGAAAAAAATTTTTTTTTCCAAATCCAATATAAGAATTTCACAGGACAGTTATCAGCAAACTCATCTCCCAGTTTCCAGTCCTTTGCAAGATCCAGTACAAACTGATGCAAGAGACAACGAACAATTAATTTGAATTTTTATAACAACAAATGTTATTAGAACTTTCCCCAGCCTGGCTGGCAGCTGAATGCCATGTTCCTTGTCCAAGCACTTGTGCCCACTGCATCACCCATGATTATAAAAGCATGGTGAGAATGACATCAGGTCAGGAACATGCTTTTGTTTACCAGGGACTGTGCTACAGTTTTTCTTGTGTACATTGAGCCAAATCCACAGCAAACCAGAGCAAGTTCACATGACTCTGAAACTGCAGCAGCTTAAAATGGAATATGGCATATCCTGCCAACTGCTTTTCCTCTAATTTCTACTGAAACAGAGTTTGGCCTATGTCACACATTTAAGCATTTTCAGTTCTACCAGGGGTATACACCACACTACTCAGTTTACTGATATAGTTTAACTCTTTAAATGTTGCTTTTCCAAACGCCAATGCAAGCAGAACACAAAAATACTGTTTGCCATATTTATTATTTTAAACTAAGCTCTGAATTATACAAGTGTAAAAGTGATTAATTAGGCAGTAGCTTTTTAATAGTCCTATAAAATATGAGTAAATAGAATATTTCAAAAGTATGTACAATGCAATGGAAACGCTCATGGCATCTGTGGCAGTGCTCAGACAAACCACTGGAATCACATCTTGTGAGGTGGTTCGGTCCATCCCTCAGTACAAACAACAGTCTGTCTTTTTGCAAAAAGCTTTTTCGGTGTTGCTGAATGAGAGGGAGGGGGGGAAAGACCAAAATATAACTAACCCACCCCTCCCACCCAATTTAGGATCAAATAAATGCTACACAGTTTATCCATGGGGAGAATTTTTATAATATAAAGCACTTTACAGTAACTATGTCTGGTGTCTTGTTATAGTTGAGGAAGGGATGATCTTGCCATCTTTTCTTGCCAAAACCAAAGTGTACTGGCGTGTGTCTGCGTGTGTTAGGAATGGGGGTTTGTACTACCTTGTCTTAATTTCAAAAATCAAGGCCACAGAAATTCTTTGTTGTTCTCTTTCAAAAGAGGACATTCCAAAATACCCCTTTTCCATGCACTGGAAATGTTTTCATGCTTTAACCTGTACTGAGGAAGTAATTAAAATTTCAATTTCGTATCTGCAGAGGTCAGAAAGGACAAGCAGGCAGCAGAAA